CTTTAGTTTTCTAAAATTTTACTTTTGTTTTATAAATTTTCAATGTATAAACAAAAGTTTTTTCTTCTTGTTTAACCGATCGTGTGTTACAGTTTTTCAGTTTAGACGTTTAATGGTCCAGAACTGTATAACTTTATACTCGATATCAGCTCAGTAGTAAGTAGTTCAAAAGATTAATATTATTTTTTTAGTTATTCAGTGACAGATTGTTATAAGTAAGGACTTAGTTTTGAACTGAACTTTATTCATACAATGATCATATATTTCTGCTTTTTTTCTGTAGTCAGGTTTCCTTTTGGATATATAAATGAAAAGCAAATAAACCATTATGCGATATCTACTCTGCAGGATAATCTCCACCATTATGGCATATGTTTAGTGTCATATGAAAAAAATTTTTTAAATTTATTTTAAGTATTCATTCTGAATTGACGATACAATGTTTTTTCAAACTGTTTACAAACATTACTGTTCTTTACTAAGTAAGAAAAAATAAGCAAAAAAAGTTTTTTTCTTGATATAATAAGTTATCGTCAAAACAGCACTATCATTTTAAGCGAAATTTCAAGCTAAGTTAGATTCAAAAAAGTTTGACTGATCGGAAAACTGTAATATTTTTAGCTGTTTGAATACAAGTATACAGATCGAGTATAAAGCAAGTATTTTTTAGCCTTGTTTTCTTTTTTTTTGAGGAATTTTTGATCTTTATAAATGATCATAATTTTGATTCATATTATTCTTGAAAAATTCAGTAAAAATTTCGTTTGACTTTTATTTTTCTTGATCCTAATATGGTCTACGGAAATTGCGGAATACGTATCGGTAAATGAATGAAAAAAAAAAGGGGGGAAAGAACAAACTTGAATAAAACAGAAACTAATTTTTTTTCTACGACAAGTAACTGAAACATTATCAATAAAAAAACGAATCCAGATTAACAAAAGAAAAATTTCCAATAATTTCTTAGTTTAAAAACTTGTTTTGCATTTTTTTTTCTTGCCTTTTTTTCATTTTTATTACTCGGTGAAAAGATCTTTTTTTTATAATTCTTATAAATACCTTAGTTTTTTATCACTTCAACTTACCATTAAAAAAAGTAATTTTAACGCCTTTAATTATAGTTCAAAAATTTGGAAATTACTTAATTGTTATTAGAAACTACAAAAAAATTATTATTGTTAGAAAATAATGATTAAGGAAGCAATTAATTGAGTGATTTGAATATGTTAAAGAAAAAAACTGTCTAATCAACTTACTTTTTGACTGCCAGTTGAACAGTTGTAATGATTGTATGAGTAACAGATGGCAGATACAGTTTCTGTATAAACTTTGGTTATAAAGTATTGTGAACAGATAAAACTGTTTTTTTTTT